TAAGGCAGCCGTGTCCTCCAGGGGAACTGATCACTGCAGCCTGGATGTGAATTCTACTTCCAGTACATCTCCAGGCTCTGCCTGAAGGCTAGCAACAAACACATTTGGGCACCACATTTTAGGAAGGATGTTGACAAGCTTGAGCGTGTCCAGAAGAGGGCAACCAGGATGGTGAGAGGGTTGGAATACAAGTCTTACGAGGAAAGGCTGAAAGAGTTGGGTATGATTAGCCTGGGAAAGCGAAGGCTTAGAGGGGACACGATTGCAGTCTTCCAATATCTGAAGGGCTGTTGGGTAGGAGATGGAGCAGGTCTATTCTCTCTTGCTCCGGATTGCAAGACTAGATCTAAGGGGTGGAAATTACAAGGGAGTTGATACCGGCTAAATATCAGGAGAGACTTCCTAACAGTAAGAGTGGTTGAGCAGTGGAACGGACTGCCTCGGGAGGTGGCGGAGGCTCCTTCGCTGGACGTTTTCAAGCGGAGGCTGGGCGACCATCTTTTGGGTATGTCGTAGGGCTATCTTTCGGCTATGCTCTTGCAGAGTGCAGGGGGTTGGACTAGATGACTTGCAAGGTCCCTTCCAACTCTAACATTCTATGATTCTATGATTCTAACACAGGGAAACATGGCAAGGTTGAGCAAACGTAGAAACACACCATGTTAGAACAAAACACACAACACCAGGGCTATTTTTGGGCAGGAACGCACAGGAACGGAGTTCCGGCTGGCTCCTGAGTTGGCCACGCCCAGCAGGAACTCGTTAGCATAATAGGCCACACCCAAGAGCAGAAACTCATTAGGATTGGCTACATTAGTGGTGTGTGGCCTAACATGCAAAGGAGTTCCTGCTACAAAAAAGGCCCTGGGTTTTGACAACAACCAAGGTAAACAGAATAAGAAGCAAAGGGTGCGTGTGGCTGGATAACCACACTTCTGGTAACATGGGGGTGTGGCCTAATATGCTAATGAGTTTCTGCTCTTGGGTATCCCTGATGGATTAAAGTACCCTGGTCCTGCTCCTACATTTAAGAACATAAGAACATAAGAGACGCCAATGTTGGATCAGGCCAAAGGCCCATCCAGTCCAACACTCTGTGTCACACAGTGGCCAGAAATACCAGTGCCATCAGGAGGTCCAGCAGTGGGGCCAGGACATTAGAAGCCCTCCCACTGTTGACCCCCCCCCCAAGCACCAAGAAGACAGAGCATCACTTGCCCCAGAGCCCCTAGCTATACCTTGTGGCTAATAGCCACTGATGGACCTCTGCTCCATATGCTTATCTAATTCCCTTTTGAAGCCGTCCATGCTTGTAGCACCCACCACTTCCTGTGGCAGTGAATTCCATGTGTTAATCACTCTTTGGGTGAAGAAGTACTTCCTTTTATCCGTTCTAACCCGACCGCTCTGCAGTTTCATGGAGTGCCCACGAGTTCTTGTATTGTGAGAAAGGGAGAAAAGTACCTCTTTCTTTACCTGCTCTTTCCCATGCATAATCTTATAAACCTCGATCATGTCACCCCTCAGTCGTCTTTTCTCCAAGCTAAAGAGCCCTAAGCGCTTTAACCTTTCCTCATAGGGAAAGTGTTCCAACCCTTTTATCATTCGAGTTGCCCTTTTCTGCACTTTTTCCAAAGCTATAATATCCTTTTTAAGGTGTGGTGCCCAGAACTGCACACAGTATTCCAAATGAGGTCTCACCATTGATTTATATAGGGGCATTATTATATTGGCTGATCTGTTTTCAATACCCTTCCTAATAATCCCCAGCATAGCATTGGCCTTCTTTATTGCAGTCACACACTGTCTCGACATTTTCAGTGAGTTATCCACTACAACTCCAAGATCTCTCTCTTGCTCAGTCTCTGCCAGTTCAGACCCCATCAATGTGTATTTATATTTAGGATTTTTGGCTCCAATGTGCATCACCTTGCACTTGGCCACATTGAACCCCATTTGCCATGTTGACGCCCACTCGCCCATCCTTGACAGATCCCCTTGGAGTGCCTCACAATCCTCACTGGTTTTCACCACCCTGAACAACTTTGTATCATCCGCAAATTTAGCCACTTCACTGCTTACTCCCATCTCCAAATCATTAATGAACAAGTTAAAAAGCAGTGGACCAAGTACTGATCCCTGCGGTACCCCACTGCTTACCACCCTCCACTGAGAAAATTGCCCACCTACACTCACTCTCTGTTTTCTATGAACTAGCCAGTTTTTGATCCATAAAAGGACTTGTCCTTCTATCCCATGATTTTTGAGCTTACTTAGGAGCCTTTGATGAGGAACTTTATCAAAAGCTTTCTGGAAGTCAAGGTAAATAATATCTATTGGATCCCCCTTGTCCACATGTTTGTTCACCCCCTCAAAGAACACTAACAGGTTAGTGAGACAAGATCTTCCCTTACAGAAACCGTGCTGAGTCTGCCTCAATAGGTTTTGTTCATCTATGTGCCTACTAATTCTTTCCTTAATAATGGTTTCCACCAATTTACCCGGTATCGACGTCAGACTGACTGGCCTGTAATTTCCCGGATCTCCTCTGGAACCCTTTTTAAAGATGGGAGTGACATTAGCTACCTTCCAATCCTCAGGAATGGAGGCAGATTTTAAGGAAAGATTACATATCTTTGTCAGGAGATCTACAAGTTCACATTTGAGTTCTTTCAGAACTCTCGGATGTATGCCATCTGGGCCTGGTGATTTTTCAGTTTTTAAGTTGTCTATCAGTTTTAGGACCTCCTCTCTCGTCACCTCAATCTGACTCAGGTCTTTCAACACCCCTCCTGAAATCAGTGGTTCTGGAGTGGGCAAGCACTTCTCATCTTCCACAGTGAAGACGGAGGCAAAAAATGCATTTAGCTTCTCAGCCATTTCCCTATCATCCTTCAATACTCCTTTTACCCCTTGGTCGTCCAAGGGCCCCACTGCCTCCCTGGCTGGTTTCCTGTTTCTAATGTATTTGAAGAAAGTTTTATTGTTGGTTTTTACGTTTTTTGCTATATGCTCCTCATATTCCCTTTTTGCCTGCCTGACCTCAGACTTGCATTTTATTTGCCATAGCCTGTGTTCCGTTTTATCAGCCTCACTGTGACTAGCTTTCCACTGCTTAAAGGAATTCTTTTTACTTTTTACAGCCTCCATTACTCTGTTTGTTAACCATGCAGGCTTTTTCCTATACCTGTTTGTGCCTTTCCTAACCTGCGGAATATATATTTTTTGAGCTTCTAGGATCGTAGTTTTAAATAGATCCCAAGCTTCCCCAATTGTTTTGACCCTTTCTACTTTTCCTTTCAGTTTCCTCCCCACGTGTCCCCTCATATCAGAGAAATTACCCCTTTTAAAGTTAAAAATGGTTGTGTGAGTCTTTTTGGCCAATTCTCTATTTGTACAAATGATGAACTCAACTACTATATCTTCATATATTGATATAAATAATGTACTTGAATACAACAGAGACCCTAGTGTATCTTATTCATTATAGTACAAAAGCCTAAAGAACGTTATATATCTAGTAGAAAAGTCCACAGCTACAGAGACAGGTTTCAGAGCTGTAGACTATCTTGCATCTGATGAGAGAGATGCAGCAGTCGTCAGTGATGAAAGAAACAGCAGGCTGTTATGCTGTCCAAAAAGAGATACAGCAAGCCTCAAAGCAACACGCCTCCCAGGCAAAAAATGCGTGTTTGGAGAGTTTCTTCTTCAGGGAAAATTATTTTTCCTGGAACCAATGCTACAACGCACGAGTCAACAATTCTATAGAACCAGAGAAGCCTTCAAGTATATTATTTATAACAATATGTGAAGATATAGTAGCATGATAGTGTTGTGTGTTTTGTTCTAACACGGTGTGTTTCCACGCTTGCTCTACCTGGAGGCTGGCAACCCAAAAATCTGGCCATGAGATCGAACCCTGGGAAGGCCCATCTAGCCTGGCATTTGGGTGTAGTGGTTAAGAGTGGCAGACTCTAATCTGGGAGAACCGAGTTTGAGTCCCCGCTCCTCCACATGCAGCCAGCTGAGGGACCTTGGGTCAGTCACAAGTTCTCTCAGAGATGTTCTCTCAAGAGCAGTCCTCGAAAGAGCTCTCTCAGCCCCGCCTACCTCACAGGGTGTCTGTTGTGGGGAGGGGGAGGGAAAGGAGATTGGAAGCCGCTCTGAGATTCCCTCGGGTACTGAAGGACGGGGTATAAATCCAATCTCTTTTCCTTCTTCTACCATAAGGAGTCTCAGTGCAGTTTACAATCGCCTTCCCTTCCTCTCCCTGTAGAGAGGGGGGGACTTAGGGTTGCCAAGTGAATTTTACTTACCGGCGGGGGAGCCTCGCCGCGCTCCGGGAGCAGTCTCTCATTGTGTGCGCGCGCACACCACCAGCACGTTACCGGACGTGACGCGCGACGTCGATCACGTTGAGGGCATGGCCCCGATCGTCAGAGGGAAAACCATTGAGTTTTCCCTCCAACGATCGGGGCCACGCCCCCAACGTGATCGATGTGGTTGCGTTGCCTCTGGCGATGCAGCCGCGCTGCGCTTCGGGAGGCGGAGTTCCCCCCGGGGCCCGATTCCGCAGCGACGAAAATTGGGCCTCTAAAGCGGGGGATTACCCACCACCCGCCCCCACTTGGCAGCCCTAGGGGGGCTTGTGAGGTAGGTGGGGCTGAAAGAGCTCGGAGAGAACTGTGACTGACCCAAAGTCACCCAGCAGGCTCCAAGTGAAGGAGTGGGGAATCAAGGCCGGATCTCCAGATTAGAGTCTGCCACTCTTAACCCCTACACCACGCTGGATGCTAAGCAGGGTTCCGGGCCTGTAACCTGTCTGGAGAAGCGTTCTGTCACAGCAGTTCTCTCATGAGCAGTCCTCGAAAGAGCTCTCTCAGCCCCACCTGCCTCACAGGGTGTCTGTTGTGGGGAGAGGAAGGGAAAGGAGATTGGAAGCCGCTCTGAGACTCCGAGCGAAGGAACGGGGTATAAATCCGATCTCCTCTTCTTCTTACCTCAGTACACTAGTGGTCACCCACTGCTCTTCATCCAGGGGCACCTGAACCTGGTTACTGTCGGCGAGCTCCAGCACGTCGCCATCGCGAATCCAGCTGACCTCCGGCGGATCGCCGATGGAGTGGACGGAACAGGACAGTTTCACATCCTTCCCCAAGGAGGAAGTCAGGTTGAAGGGGCCTTCCAGGAAGTAGATGGCTGCGGGAGAAAGAGAAGTCTCGTGAACCGTGCCGACCTCCCGCCCCCGAAGAGAAGGAAGCCGTGGAACAGGAATGGAAACTCGCCGGCCTCCTGTTCGCTAACCCCAAAGGTTCCTAATTTTAGGCTGCGAGTCCAAAACAAGGCCCATCTTCTCTAAAACGACAGGAATACAGAGTTCCCCTTGTGAAGAATCAGGAGCAGGGGTCCTCCCCAACGTGGTGCCCGTGGGCGCCCACCAAGGCCTTTTCGGGCCCACCAAGTACTTTTTGTAAGTGGGTGTGGCTTTTGCCCAGCGCGGCTTCTGATTGGCTGTGCAGATGAAAAGGTATACTTTATTTATTTATTTATTTGATTCGATATATATCCCGCCCTCCCCGCAAGTGGGCTCGGGGCGGATCACAGTAGGACTCTAAAACACATAGATAGAATTTAAAAGGTAAAAGTTTCCCTTGCTTGAAAGCCAGTCGAATCCGACTCTAGGGTTGCGGTGCTCATCTCCGTTTCAAAGCCGAAGAGCCAGCGCTGTCCGAAGACGTTTCTGTGGTCATGTGGCCGGCATGACTAAACACCGAGGCGCACGGAACGCTGTTCCCTTCCCACCGAAGTGGTACCTATTTATCGACTTGCAATTTCTTGCTTTCGAACTGCTAGGTTGGCAGGAGCTGGAACTAGAGACGGGAGCTCACTCCATCATGCGGCACCCGGGTCTCGAACTGCTGAACTACTGACCTTCCACAGCCTGCAGTTCAGCGTCTTAACCACTTGAGCCACCACAGCTCAATAGAATTTACAGAATAATTAAAAGTAATTTAAGACATCATAGATTTAAAAAGGAAAAAAACACAGAACAGGCCACGCTGTTTCATTATATACATTTTTATATACATTATATTTCATTATAAGCATCCTCTATCCCGCCTTTCCTAGTGGTTCAAGGCGAGGAAACACTTTCTGCCAAAACCAAAAACAAAACAGCCAACCCCAAAGAGTGTTCCCTCTATGCTGAGTTAGTGTGAGCCAGCTCACAGTTTTTTAGCCTCCAGCTCACACATTTTTGTCTCCGCTCAGGAAGGACGGCTCCAGAGCAAACTAATCGCTCCCTCCCAACTTGAACGCCAGCGGCTCACAAAGTAGAATTTTTGCTCACAAGACTCCACAGCTTAGAGGGAGCATTGAGCCCCAAATCTTTTCCCCTTCCCCGCTTAATCCCATTAAACAGACATTCTGCCCAACATGTCAAGGAGTTACTATAAGAGTCACGCATAACCTCAGTCCATGACATTATTTTTAAGAGATAATTTTTATTCATTTTTATAAACAGCAAAGATTTACAAGGTAAGCATGAGCATAGTCATTTTTGTTGTGTACTAGTCAGGGATGAACCTGAGCATAACTCTGAGGAACAATAGACGATTGGATCTTAGCCGCTCCAATCGGAAGGCTAGGATCCAAGACGGAACCTATTGAGCACTAGCACTGTAAATAAACCTGTGACGGCTGTTGGGGTGTGCGCGTGGTGTGGTTTGCTGTGAAAATATAAGCCGGCCTGCGAGCCGGCTTCTGTGTCTTGTTCCTGAATAAACGAAGAGCTGATTCACTACACTATGCCTCGAACCCACTATATTACAATTTTGTAGTTGGCTCCGCCCCCTCTGGCGGCCATCTTGTGGTTGCCCCCACCACCCTGTGTCAGAACTGGAGGCTCAAATAGGATGATGTGGGGCATGTCGTCGTGTTATGAGACAGCAGCCGTATGGACCGAGCAAGCGTGGCCGGTGCCAAGGAATGCACAGAGGCCAATCTCATCGGCCTGGAGAAAGCTCTCAACACACGCTCAGAGGTACCGTTTCTTGATTCCCCAGGCTCAGAGATATAGATCAATCTGGACATAAATCTGACATGACAAACCACAGTGGGAGGAGGACATTTTCGTCTTCCAGGTCATTCCGTTGCTGACCTAAGAGGGGCGGTCCTCAAACAAAGACATTTCAATGGGGAAATTACAGAGTGTGATTGCTGAACTGGAGTTAATTCGCAAGTTCAGAACAATGGACCCCCCGGGGCTGAATAGGAACACAGGGTTTTTATCTCAGCACCTATGCTAACTTTCTGCGCCCAGGCATTTCCCCTCTGCTCTCATCAAGCCGATAACAATGCACATTGTACCTACGCATTCTTTACACGCATTCTTTACCACTCCCGTCCCACCTTCTGAAGAAGTGAGCGGTGACTCATGGAAGCTCCTCCCCTGCCTCGCATTTTGTTAGTCTTTATGGTACTCCTGGACGCTTGCTCTTTTCTGCTGCTACAGACAGACCAACACATCTACCCAGGGGTCATTTCGTAGAAAAAGAGGCGCAGGAGCTCATTAGCACAACTCATTAGCATAACTTATTTGCATACGCCACACCCCCTGACATCACCAGAAGTGTGTCAGAAGGCAATACCTGCCGCTCAGGCTCCACTGGACTGTTTTGGATTGCTAGCTATTGGGGGGGGGACTTGCAAATCTGTCCTCGCAGAGGAGGGAGAGCTTGTACCTGAATAAAACTTGGTCTTAAAGGTGCCACTGGACTGTTTTGGATTGCTAGCTATTGGGGGTGGGGGGAATGTGCAGATCTGTCCTCGCAGAGGAGGGAGAGCGTGTACCTGAATAAAACTTGGTCTTAAAGGTGCCACTGGACTGTTTTGGAGAGGTCGTGTATCTGTGGGGGGTGCCCTCTGCAACTTACCTGGCTGCTTCTTGCGCCTTGTGGCTCGACTGAGGGTTGCTGGGAGCAGGGGGTGGGGCTTGCTGCATGTGCCCGCCCCCTAGGCTCCTTACTGCCGGAGCCCCGCTCCTGTGCGCTCCCGCAGGAAATGACCCCTGCATCTACCCGTCTTAAAGAAGTGAGCAGTGACTCCCGAAAGCTCCTCCCCTGCCACAAATTGTGTTAGTCTTTAAAGTGCCGCTGGACTCTTGCTCTTTTCTGCTGCTACGGACAAACACGGCGACCCATCTTGATAAAGCACTCAGATCTACGGTAGGAGGACTCAGTCTGACAAAGCTTGCACCCTGAAAACTCTTTGTTGGTCTCTTAAGGTGCTACTGGACTCAAATTGAGTTGTTCTACTGCAGATCAATACATAGGGATGCCAGGGCTATTTTTGGGCAGGAACGCACAGGAACGGAGTTCCGGCTGGCTCCCGAGTTGGCCACGCCCAGCAGGAACTCATTAGCATAATCGGCCACACCCAACAGCAGGAACTCATTAGGACTGGCTACATTAGGGGTGTGTGGCCTAACATGCAAAGGAGTCCCTGCTACAAAAAAAGGCCCTGGGTTTGGACAACAAACAAGGTAAACAGAATAAGAAGCGAAAGGTGGGTGTGGCTGGAGGACCACACTTCTGGTAACATGGGGGTGCGGCCTAATGTGCTAATGGGCGGTGCGGTCAGGGGTGTGGCCCAATATGCTAATGAGTTCCTGTTGTTGGGTGTGGCCTATTATGCTAATGAGTTCCTGCTGGACTTTTTCTACAAAAAGAGCCCTGGGAATGCCAACCTCCAGGTGGGGCCTGGGGATCCCCTGGAATTGCAGTTAGTCTCCAGGGTACAAAGCTCAGGCCCCCTGGAGAAAGTGGATGCTTTGGAGGGTGGAGTCCATGGCATCGTATCCCACTGAGGTCTCTGCCCTCCCCAGGCTCCATCCCCATATTTCCAGGAGTTCCCCAACATGGAGCTGGCAACCTGGCCCCCTGAATCTACTCAGAGAGACTCTCTTTATCACTCCTTCACCCAGGGCTCTTTTTGTAGAAAAAGCCCAGCAGGAACTCATTAGCATAATAGGCCACACCCAACAGCAGAAACACATTAGCATATTAGGCCACACCCCTGACAGCACAGCTTATTAGCACATTAGGCTGCACCCCCATGTTACCAGAAGTGTAGTTATCCGGCCACACCCACCTTTTGCTTCTTATTCTGTTTACCTTGTCTGTTGCCCAAACCCAGGGCCTTTTTGTAGCAGGAACTTCTTTGCATGTTAGGCCACACACCCCTAATGTAGCCAATCCTAATGAGTTCCTGCTGTTGGGTGTGGCCTATTATGCTAATGAGTTCCTGCTGGGCGTGGCCAACTCAGGAGCCAGCTGGAACTCCGCGCCTGTGCGTTCCGCCCCCAAAATAGCCCTGCCTTCACTTCACACATCACTCCTTCACATATTGACTTAGCACTGCACAACAGGTCTGGGGGAATGAAACCCGAGCCTAGAACAAATCTCTCCATGGGCACAAAGGTCCTGCCAACTGACCTGAAAGAAAACATCCGGCCTGTCCTTCTGCCTTTATTTCGATCCGCAGGCCAAGCTTTTCGTATCACGGAGACAGTCGCGTCTCTCTCTGTGTTTAGAGAACTCCGCTGCTGATTTCGGCACTTTGAGCCGCTGTTGAAGGCACAGGAGCGGGGGTGGTGGTTAAACAGTTGGCAACCCCAGGACAGCGGGTTTGGCCCTTTCCCTGTGGCTTCTGGGGGGGGGGGGGAATCTAGCTGGCTAGGCAAGCCCTGGCTAACATCTACGCCCGCCTCCCTGTCACTAGGGTGGCTGTCGCCGGATCTCCGCCTACTTAATGACAGTTCCCGTAATCCCTCGGCAGATGCCGTGGGTCAGGGTGGAGCAGAAAAATTCTCTCCCAAGGACGATGGCTTCTGGATTCCCGAGGAGCGCTGCCCAACTCTGCAAGCGGTGCAGAAAAATCTCCGGGAGAGATCCATCCTTCTAAGATAATTCCAAAGCCCTCCCTTCCGGATTTCTGCAATCTATCAGCTGCCTAACTGGCAGAAATTCAACAGGCAACATCCCTCCCCTACCATTACCGCTTCTCCCACCACCAATTAAGTTCCTTCATCTTATTTCTATCGTGATAACATGCAATTTTTCAAGGTTTCTTGGGCTCCTTTTTTAAAAATCCACCAAACCCTTTGAAACTGAAATAGATTGTATGAACCTCTCGGGGAC